CAGAGAGTCACTCTGGACATTTTTGTTCTTGAGCTTACATCTAGGACTGGTACTCAATAACCTAACTCTTGCATCCAATGGGAAAGATATTTCTGCTGCTGCCGGTTTATAGGTATAGGAACTGCTTTGATGAGTTACCCTTTGTGACAGCATGGAGGGACCTGGAGAGTATGATGCTACGTGAAATAAGCCAGTCAGAGAAAGATAAGTGTCACCTGATCTCACTCATATGTGGAATCTAATGAACAAAATAAACTGATGAACAAAAGAGATGCAGAGACATGGAAGCATGCACCAGACTGATGAATCTCAGAGGGAAGGGGGGCAGGAGGATGTTAACCAAAGAACTTATATGCATATATGCATAACTCTTGGACACAGACAATAGTGCGGTGAAGGCCTGGGGAGGGAGCGGGGAGGAGCGGGGAGAGTTAGGGGATATCTTTAATACTTTGAACAATAAAGATAAATTAAAAAAAGAGTTGCTCTGGCACTGGACTGTTGAAGCAACCCTGTAATACGTCTCATAATGCAGCTCACACCAAAAACTCCATAGGATTAGCCCTCACATTTCTGGTCTAGAAAGAGGAGTCAGATGATAACGATGGTGGTGTGGCTTCATACATTTGTGGAGCTTTCTCTATTCCTTTCTGAACTAGATGGTAGAAACTGTAAGGTATCTGTTCTGTAGCAGTGGTCAAAACGAGATCGAGTTCAAGCCCCAGGAAATACTATTTTTGTGCAGCAGAAAACAACTGAGCATCAACATGCTTTTAAAACAAATACCTTATGATCTCACTAATATGTGGAATCTAATGAACAAAATAAACTGACCAACAAAATGGAACCAGAAGCAAGGATACATGGAACGGAGTGGCTGGTGCCCGAGGGGATGGGGGTGGGGTGACTGGATAAAGAAGGTGAAGGGATTATATGCACACCCCATGGACATGGACAATAGTGTGGTAAAGGCCAAGGGAGGGGGAGGCAGGGGTGGGTGGGGGTGAGCAAAGGAGGAGAAGAGGGGGACACCTGCAATAATGTCAACATTAAACATTTTAAATAAAAATTGTGAAAAAAGCATGTTAATAAAAACTGCTGTAGGTATTTTGAACTAAACTTTTGTGATTTTTATTTGAAATCTTTAGATTTATAGTGTGCCTTTTGGGTCTGGGCTAGTCTTTCTTCTGTACCTGGATATACTGTGCGGCCCACACTGAGTTGAAGCATCTATATACCATTGCTAATGGATATAGGTATCTTTATTGAATGCCCTTCCCCCACCCCTTTTTGGAAGTTTTGTCATCTGCCTTTTATTTTTTTGCTTATTTGTTATCCCTGAGATGAATGGGTCTGTGGTTTTGGCTTAGGGAAATAATATAATGCCAGACTTTCATTTGCAAAATATGTAATAATTCACCTGGTTCTCTGGACCATAATTCTTCTAAGCCCAAGATTTCTTTTTAAAATATATTTTTATTGATTTCAGAGAGGAAGGGAGAGGGAGAGAGAGATAGAAACATCAATGATGATAGAGAATCATTGATTGGCTGCCTCCTGCACACCCCCTACTGGGGATTGAGCCTGCCACCTGGGCATGTGCCATTGACCGGAATCGAACCTGGGACCTTTCATTCCACAGGCTGACGCTCTATCCGCTGAGCCACACCGGCTAGGGCTAAGCCCAAGATTTTAATGAGTCAGATGCTACAGATAGTCAGTGGAACAAGAATAATGCAATAGAAGAGTAGTGCAGTTATTTCAATTATGTAGGTAAAACTACAGATCTATATTTTAATAAGATGAAAAATTTCTTTAGCATTTCATGGATTTTGTTATAGATTATACATATTGTATACCATATGGTTTCATTAATTGATCAGCTATGTTTAGATGTTTACATGTATGGAGCATTATAATAGAAAAGATTTGGTACTCTTAAAAATTAAAAATAAAGCCAGACATCTTTAAAACTGTAAAATTTAAGTGTTCTCAAGAAAGTGACATTTGAGCCCTTAGGGATGAAGAGGAGCAGGTGAAAGCTGAAGAAATCACTTGTGGGATATTGAGGGTACGAAGAGGAAGCCGACCAGTAGTGCCTGTTGGTAGTGAGACCTAGAGAAAGGCAGTAGCTACATTGTTTGCCCTTTCAAAGGAGTTATTTTAGTGCTCATTCCAGTGATGTTTCCATTGCTTAGACCATTTTTGAAAGTATTCCTGACCTTGCCTTCAGATCCTATTTTGAAACACAAAAGAAATTTTCTCTTTAAAAACAAAGAATGTTTTGCTGTGTAATCAACCTCTTATTTAATAGACTTGCTTCAAAAGGGCTTTTGATTATTTATAAAAATTGAATCTACCCATAGGGGGCATATATTTATATGTTTTATCACAGATAGTATGAGCTTTGAAATTAAGAATTTTAGAAATGTATAAGTTTCAGTTTATAGAAATTGATCTTTCAGAAATGTGAGAAATTTTGAGATGTTTGCTCTAACCGAAATATCCTTGATTGATCACTGGTTTTTCAGTTCATCTACAGAGACTGGTCTGTTCACAAATGGATGTGTGTATTTATGTGTGTGTGTATGTGCCCGTGTGTGTATGTAGGCAGTAGAGAGAAAGATAGGTAAGGAGCATTTGAAATGGAGTCCATAGTTGAAGATCTTCATTCAGATATTTTACAAGCTGTGTGATCTTCAGTCCCCTACAGCTTCAATATGATTTCACTTATATGTGGAATCTAATGAACAAAATAAACAAACAAAATAGAAACAGACTCATAGATACAGCAAACAGACCAACAGCTGTCAGAGGGGAGGGAGGTTGGAGGCTGGGTAAAAAAGGTGAAGGGATTAAGCAAAAAGAAACCACAAAAAAACTTGTAGACACAGACAACAGCATGGTGATTAACAGAGGGAAGGAGGGGTGAGGGGAGGTAGAAGAGGGTGAAAGGGAGGTAAGTGGTGATGGAAGGAGGTGACTTTGGGTGGTGAACACTCAATACTATATGCAGAAGATGTATTATAGGATTGTACACATAAAACCTATATACTTTTATTAACCAATAAATTCAATAAAATTAAAAACAAATTTTAAAAAATTATAGCAACATTACCACCCACTCATGTTTTCTGGATATTAAAAAATAGATTTAGAAGTACTTTGTAAATGAAAAAATACTTTATGTGTGTATATATATTTCATAACTAGATTAGTGTGCACCTGTAAAAGTTATTGCTTAAATAATAAGCAAAATAGGAGCACTTTTAATTGAGGACAAACCCCATAATTGGACATCTTAGTTTATAAAAAAAATTAGTTGTTTAAAATTTTATGTTACAGACTATTTATTTTTGTGTCATTTAAAATGTGTATTATTACATGCTTATTTTGTATTGTTCTTTTGTGACATGTTTACTCATGTCAAAAAAGAATTCACCAGTTAAAAAAAAAACTTCTTAGTGTATTTACATGCCTATTTATTGATAGTGGTATGTGTATAGAAGGGAATAGAGGGAGTTAGGGCTAAAAGTTGAGGTAAAGCCCTAGCTGGCTTGGCTCAGTGGATAGAGCATTAGCCTGCAGACTGAAGGGTCTTGGGTTCAATTCTGGCCAAGGGCACATGCCTGGGTTGTGGGCTTCATCCCCAGTAGGGGGCATGCAAGAGGTAGCCAATCAATGATCCTCTTTCATCATTGATGTTTCTATGTCTCTCTCTCTCTTTTCCTTTCTCTCTGAAATCAAAGAAATATATTTAAAAAAAAAGTTGAGGTAAAAGAGAAGGGGTTAAAAGGGATGCATCTGTTAAATAAATGTAATGGTTTAGGAGCAATTAAAGATCAAGAAACATTAATCATCTGTATAAGTGTGTTGATTTTTAAAATTTGGATTACACACTTCTAGAAAATTTTTTTTTTGTAGAAAGATGGATGCACCTGGATATAGAATAATCCAAGATTTTATCTAAACCAGAACTACTCATTGAGAAGGGAGGGTGATCTGGGGTCTTCATAGACTACTGGAGCCTCCAGGAAACAGCCTTTTCTGAAGAAAGCTATGACCACCATTATTGAAATCAATGAATAATATTCGATAAATTCTCACTGGCGTTGATATTTATGTGTGTTGCTTACGTGATTTTTAATTGATAGGGTCCTCCCCCCTAAAATTAAACGAATAATCAGGTAGTCACTATGTATAGCCTTTAAAAAGGGGACATGATTAACTTTTCTTAGAAAAATACATAAATGGAGACATTTTAAAATTAAATAAGACATGAAGACGATTTTCCACATGTGTCTTTAGAAGAAGTATGGCATTGTAAATGCAGGCAGGAAAAGCTCCGTGGTCTCTCATCTTTCTATTGCTTCATGGTATCAAAGGAGATACCACTTATTTTGAGAACGCTCTGGCCCTATGCAGCAGCTTGAACATTGAAGGGACCCATATACTCTGTTGCCGGAGTTATTTCTTTTCCAGGGAAGGAGGGGAGGGTTGGAGAATGCATCACCTCTCTTCCTTTTACCTGGTGGTAGCATTGAGACGAGACCTGGCCCCCATTTTTATGACTTCAACTTGATTGCTGGCAGCCAGATGTGCTGAAACTCCTGACGGCAGCATCTATTCATTGCGTGATTTTAATAGGCTTAGAGAAATATGAGTAGAGTACATGAAGGCAGCTCAGCTTCACACTTCAGCTGGGGAAGCCCAAAAAGCTCACTGCTGTTTAGAATTCTTGCTACAGTCAGGAGAAAGCCGAAAGCTGCTCGGGCACTGAATCTTCTCCGACTGAATTAGAAGAATAATGACTGTACAATTAACTATCAACCTCTGCTCATTTAAGCACAGTTTTTACAGAGCTCAGGAGAAATATGGAACTTGATTGGCATGTTTTTATTTGACAGCGTGTGCAAATAGATGACTTTAAAGACAGGTGGTAAGGAAAAATAAAGAGAACAGAGAGAGAGAGGGGGGAAAAAAAAAAGAAAAGAAAGAAAATGCAATTTGAGACATTGCGCCAGGTCTGCAATTCTGTTTTATCTCATTTTCATGGGGTTTTTTCATCCCCACCAAATATTTTACAAAATGAGCTATTTGGACAAACGCTGAATAATACAAGGTAAGTAAAGCTAAACTGTATGTTCTTTTAGTGTTGGTATTTTCAGAATACTAATCTTACATGTCCGTAAAAATTGTTCTGTATTAAAATGTGAGCATCATCAGGGTGTTGTCTTTTTATCTGAAATAGACAATTTTATGTAGTGTTCTTAATTGATTTTAGGAAGGAAAGCAAGCTTACTTCAAAGCACAGAAAGCATCTTAAATTTAACTAGGTTGACCTCTGAATCATGCAGGCTGTTTCATGATTTCATTTTCTAAGAAATAGAAGGATTAACTTAAAATGCCTGACATCTTTCTCTTTGTGATCATGGCAGTTATTATATTGCATATATGGGGATGGGGCTAAATAATCATGCGTGATTTGCTGGAAAAGGTGAATTAGCAGTTATGCATGCTCTCTGTAAAACATGCGGAAGATGTTTTCTGGGTCTGAGATATTTCTCTGAGATATTTCTCTATGCAGGGATCAATAATCACTTTTAAACAGGCTCTATTATGGAACTGCTAATAATGATTGGCTAGTTTGGAAGGATGCTTCGTTATAAATTCTATTGCTTTTCAACCTGATCTTTTTTTTTGTGTGTGTGTGTGTGTGTGTGGTGAAGGTTGTTAAATTCTGAACATATGTTTTAGATGGTTTCTCTAGCTTATGGTTTAAAGAGATAGCGTATAGAAGAATGCTTTTAAAATGCAGTTTTGTCATCCAGTTTTCCCCTCCTTTGAGTTGCTTGTCTTTTGAGAATTTCTGATGTTACATACCTAGTATAGAAAAAAAAAGCTCATTTTAACTAAATACGTGTGGGGAAAGACTGAGAAAGAAACGATAATGCATTGAAACCTTCTGGAAATCGAGGGAAAACTAATAGTGCACAGAATATTGAATGGTTTTGCAGGTCTCTTCCTTTTAGGGTCTTTGAACAATGTGAGGCAGCCTGTTTTAGAGATGAAGAAATACCTAATAGCAGTATATGTTTTGATTTAACAAACGTAAAGGAGGCTTTATAAATTTCTAGGCATTTAAAATATTTACTGATGATAAATATATCTATGACCTTTCCATTGAATATGAAGCAGCATGTTTCCTTTTAATAAAATTTCACATCTTTCCCCAGTGCAGATCTGTTCAGTTAACTAATTCTCTTTTTTTAATATTTTGTTTTCAGACTAATGTAAAATATATAGCAGCATGTGAAATGCTATGATAGGTTATCTGTAGTTCCAGATAGAAAGATAGTGGGTTTTCTTACTTAGCAATATAATATTTAAGTGTATGATTTATGATAAAAGTAATTTGTATTGATTTAAGTATGGCTTTCTTAAGAATTCCTTGACCCAAAGCTACTAGAGTTTTAGGATATGTACTCATCCCTTGTAAATACTCTCTGTATTTGATTTCTTTTTTTTTTAATGCCAAGAATTTAGGTGTTTAAAAATATTAATATTAGGGCTGGGTATATATTCATTTTAAGAATTGTGCATAGTATGGAATTAATTTTAAAGTAAATGTTTCTAGGTTTAAAATATGAGAATATCTATTTTTTGAGGGAATTATGTGCACCCCTATTACTACACATTTGCTTTGGCCACAAGTTTCTTTTAGCACAAGTTGTCATGCTTATAATTGTAATGCTGTCATTATTAACAATCTGGAATTTTATGCTGCGGTAATTAAATATTAAATTGTGGATTTTGTAAGGATTCTGTAAGACCAGTCTTATTTAACTTTTTTTTAACCTAAATTATCTGAAACAATTAATAAAGAATTTATTCTGTTTTAGGGGGAAAAAAAACACTTTCTATGTTCTTATCTAGGTCTTCTAAAAACATATGACTTTTCTTTCACATGTAGATCTATTGATCTTCATAACTAATCAAGTACTTGATTTACTTACAAAGTAAGTCAAAACCAATTAAAAAATAGCTATTATTTTAGAAGTATGAAGAGTAAAAATAAATTTATAAGAACGTACAATTAATAAACCCCCCTGCACATATTTTAATGTTTTGGTTACTTTGTGTTCAGATCAGACACAATGGTCTTTTAAAATTATTATTTTGCTTAGATGAAAAAAAAATATAAATACCTAAGCATCAACATTTCAAGTTAGCATAGAATCAGAAAGTAAGATTTAGACTTAAAAAAAAAAATCATCCTTGAAGAAAAAATGGAAGAATAATGACTTAGTATGTCATCAGAAGATGTTATCTTACAACTTAAAATTTTTTCTAAGTAATGAGACTTTCAACTTCATGGACTGGACATTATGCGTTTGAGATATGAAGCATCAATTACATAAGTATCACCTCTGGAAAGAACAGTTTGGTTATTATTACATGAGTAGTTCTCATCTGTTTGGACTAGTTGAAATGGAATATTCAGTATTTGTATTGTGACATTAATTCCATCTTTACACTGATAGAAAATAACATCAGGGATATGGAAAATTAGGTAATATTTTCTTCTGAATTGCTTTCTAGGAGAAATGACTAGAATAGTACCATGTATCAGTTGTAGACAACGTATTATCAAAAGAGGACCCTTTCAGAGAGTTTTCTTGAGGCTTTTTCTAGGTACCCAATCTTATCCCTAAATCTGCAACGCAACCTTCATCAGGTTGTCAGATGATAGGGCAATTTACTTCTATGACATATTAGCAATAGAAGATTAAGATGAAAATTTCCCAAAATAATTGCTCCAAAAGCATTTACAGATTCAACTTGCAAAGGAGCAAAGATTTTAAAGACACCTATAACATTTTATGTATCACAAATCACTAAACTGGAGATTAATATAGATTGTTAAAACATTTTATTACCTAATGAATAATTGAAATTTACTTGTGAGTGGAAATCATTAGAATATTTTAGGCTTTTTGTTGGAAACCAAATAGTACAAAACCCTATGTTTCAATCTGGAAGTTTTTTACTTATTCTCTTATTATTGTGGATCTTGAGTACCATTTTAGGGCATTAAAGAAGTGGCAGGATATCCTGTGTTCTTTTACAGTTAAAATGAAACAACTGAAGGTCCAGCAAGAAGCCACACACAGTGTCTGTGTCCTATGGCAATCCACTTGATAGGTTTTGATGAAATGCCACTTTGATTTAAACTCTTGTTATCAAGTTTTCTTACTGTAAACTCATTTTCCCCGAAATAAATTAATCCGGATACAAAGATAATTGCTTTTATTGCCAGTAGAAAAGTCCTCAAGTATTAAATTCATTATGAAATCTAAGTTTTGCAATCTTGTCTTTGGAAGGAAACATAAATATTGGGATGCTAGAGGTATATTTTTAATACAGTTCACTGCGTTGAGTAATCAATTGCTTTGAACATTATTCAAAAGATGATGACCATCTTTTGTGATAAAATTTCTGGAATAATGTACTTAATATCTCCCAAGTTTCCCCATTTACTGATTTTTAGTAATCTTTCTTGTACCATGAAGAAAACGTATTTTCTTCCAGATTGTAATTATTTCTTCGTCACCAAAGGTGTGAGAGTGAATTTGCTGTGCTGGTTGGCCACACAGGGGCATAATAGAACTTGATTTACTCGGAATAGGTAAAGACAGTCTTTCTCTCCCTTCGTATATATGTGCAGACTTTTATTTTAAAAGATATGCAGACTTTCATATTAAATGTAAGAGTAAAAAAACTTAGCAGACCAAAGAATATTTGGATTTGTAGTAGGTATTTTTAATTGTAAGTAGGTTAACCATAAGTTCCGGTTTGTCTGAACTAGTCCTAGTTTATGACTGCTATCATCCGCTCTTTATTATTAATAACACTTTTCTCTCTCTCTCAAAAGTGTTTATTGGACAATAAATTATGGAGCTGTTCTCATTATAAAAAGCAATGAAAAGCTTGAAATCACCTAGTGTAAATGGATTCTTTTCCACTGAAACATTTTCACAGTTCTAAAACATTAATATTACTTAAAAATAGAAATATAAAACAGTGTTATTTATTGAATTTATAAAATAAAATGCTTAATTATTTAGCCTGGTAGTGTTTTTTTTGTCAGGAATACTTAATCATTTACACAGCGTTTACTATCGCTTTGGTTTATAATGAAGCCATCAGTATGTGTTCAGGATTTTTGGCTCAGACACCTGTTATTTATCATGGCACATTATTGGCTACTTTGACATTGAAATAAGAGCATGCTTACTTTTCATAGCTCTGGGAATGCAGTACTCACAGTGTGTATTGTTTGGAGTTGGTAGGAGTGCAACACAATCAATATGTCATGATGGGAACATATTTTATAAACAATCTGTATTCTGCAGTTTAGAGCCACCCAGTAGTCTGATACATATGCATAGATGCACACAACATGCATGTACTATGCATGTATATAAACCTTGTTAAATGTATAATAATTATAAATATAAAAATTACATACTATCGACATAAAAGGTTAACAAGTATATATTTCTAATTAAAATGACTTAATTCACAGATGTGGATATAACTACTATTTTTACTCAAATCTTTATTATGGACCTTAGCTATATACACAATTATTAGTCTAGATCAGGGGTGGGCAAACTTTTTGACTCAAGGGCCACAATGGGTTCTTAAACTGTACCGGAGGGCCGGAACAAAAGCATGGATGGAGTGTTTGTGTGAACTAATATAGATTCAAAGTAAACATCATTACATAAAAGGGTACGGTCTTTTTTTTTTTTTAGTTTTATTCATTTCAAACAGGCCGGATCCGGCCCGTGGGCCGTAGTTTGCCCATGGCTGGTCTAGATACTTAATCTGATACTGATAAATAATCTTTAAGTATTTTCCTTATTTAAAGGACTTTTTATAAAGTTACTGCTATTGTTGATGACTGACAGGTAAATGTTAACTGTACCTTTTTATTATAAACTTTTATATGATCATATAAGATCATAGAAAACTCATGGAAGACAATTACTGGTAAACTTCTTTGTGTTTAATTCTGGCACTATTAACTGAATAGTAAAATGGATTCATTTCATATGTGCTATGGCTGTCTTCATATCCATTTACGAATTACAAAGATTCATATACTCAGCAAAAGAATCCCTAGGACTGACTCACGATTTGAGTTTGGCTTCTGAATTTGAGACATTTTAAGTATATCAGAAATGTGTGTGAACACTCCCTTTGGACAAACTGGAAAAAGCCATTGAACTTTAAAATTGTAGTATCTTCAAATGTAAAGGCTATTTTCTTGCCTCGTGCTTATTATTATTATTTAATATATTTTTATTGATTTCAGGAAGGAAGAGAAAAGGCGAGAGAGAAACATCAATAGTGACAGAGAATCATTGATTGGCTGCCTCCTGCATGCCCCACACTGGGGATCAAATTTACAACTTGGGCATGTGCCCTGACCTGGAATTGAACCATGACCTCCTGGTTCATAGGTCAGTGCTCAACCACTGATCCATGCCAGCGGGGCTTGCCTAGTGTTTTGTAATCTACGCTCTTTGTTTTTATCAGAGAATACTTTCTTCAAAAACTAACTCAATATGTAAAGCAGGTAAAAGTAGAACAGCTCTGGTTTAGAAAGTGGGACAAGGGACCCACATTAGACTCCAAGAAACACAATTTTTAGCTGATTGCTTAAATCAAATTCAGGACTTCTTACTTAAACTCCTTTAAATTTTCCTTCTCATTGTGTGACCTTTGAAATGTCAGAGATAGAGGTGATGGAAAATGACAAGGACAGCTGCCATGTTCAATCAAGGATTGATTTATGCCTGACTCTTCCACAAAGAGTGGTAGCTTTATCTTGTCTAGTGTCAGGACTTGTGTTCATGTCTTGCGTTGGCTACTTACTGGCTGTGTGATATGGTAAAGTCACTCTACCTTGAGCTTCTTGACTTAGGGATTATATATTCATTAACCCCTGAGTTTCCACACTTAGCCATCAGGCTTCTTTCCAGTCCATACCAGCTTCCCTCAGCCTCTAAACCAGCAGTTCTCAACCTGTGGGTCGCGAC